GGTGATAAAGAATTAAGCATAAATATAATAACTACTCCAAAATGCACATAGAAAGTGTTTTGGTGAACAAAAGCAGTTTTCACAATTTCCTGGCCACCAGTATTGAATTACACGTTCTCTAAGAGATAAGTAAGTAGCCTGACATCTACATGCCATTTCAATCGGGTAATTTTCCGAGCATCTGTGAAATCCTTGAAGGTTCCGTAGACGACACATTTAGGTGCTCTTTGCTTAAATAAAACGAGAGGTACAACACTGAGGAAAGCTCAGTTACCTATCATAGAAAAAGTCTGAAAATAACTAACGATGGTTATTTCTGGGTAGTGACATAGGTAATTAATTTAATTTAACAATATTTGAAGTTCCTCTAATAATAAATATGATAGATTTGGTACTATAAATACACAACTCTTTAATGTAAAAATAATACCGTCTCATTTAATTTCTAGGAATTCACCAGCAATTCCTCTTTCCTCAAAAAATTAAAAATGCAGAGACAGAGTCAGTATACACAAAAATGTCCACTGCAAGTTATTTAAGTAAAACTGGAAAATATACAGTATTCAATAATAAGGGGATCACTAAGTAAAATGAAATTTGTCCACGTGGTAGAAGAGTATGCAGCTATTAAAATTTTTTTTTTTTTTACAGTTATATAAAATAAGTAAAATGCTTAGGCTCTAATGTTAAGTGGGAAAAAAGAATATAATTTATATATGTGTACCATGTGCTCTCATCTATGGAAAAATACATTACAAAAAAAAAACCTAGAGGGGGAATATGCCATAATGTTACAAATGGTTTATTCCTATCAGTAGAGGACGTATACATATACTTTTTTGCGCACTAGACTCTTCACTGTTTTTTATACTTTATGCAGTAAAACACTATTTCTTTTTACAAAGAATTATTTATTTAATTTTATTTTAAATTTTGCTATAGAGCACATGCACTCACAAGAGAAAGAGAGAGAAAGTGAGAAAGCAAGTTGCCATGTCCAGGAATCCAGTGCCTTAACCATCAGTCCACCTGCTGGTCCCCCAAAACCATCATTTAATATCAGAAAACAAAAAAATTTAAGGGTACAAGTGGCTTTTCTGAAATTTTACTTAAGAGACAAAACTAAGTACACAGTAAGAAGAATAAAGCTATTTCCTAGTATAGTATTAATAAAATATAACACTACTCAAGGATATTCATAGACAAGCTAACAGCAACTACTGCTGCCTAAAATAGTTTAATAGCCTAAATACTATTATTCTTTTCCTATTATGCTAATTTTGTAAAATTAGCTTCTCTAATTCATAAGCCACAAACCAATACTACAAAGCTTTTATGAAATAGTATATTAGGAAGCTGGATTCTACCACCACCTGTCTTCCCTTTTGTCTGCAAAATTTACACAAAGATGTAACATACAAATACTGCTTTCAAATGATGATACAATTATATTTCTTAAACAATATTAAGCTATTTGACAGATTAGACAAAATGAAGATCTCTTCGCCAACTAATTGTTTTTCTGAAAAGGAAAACATCCTTGGATCTCCAAAGCTCTGTAGAAAACACATCATTTTTCAGTGATACAAAACGAGATGCAGAGGATCTGATTAAAAATAAAAAGACTCAGTTGTTTAAACTAAGCCCTAAAATTTATTTTGGTATTAAACTTTGGGGGAAAAAGATCTCTAAAGTTTTAAAACACATAAACTGCTAAAGCACAGTATATGGGGCCAGCCGGTGGCATAGTGGTTAAGGTGCTGGATTCCCACGTGGTTGACAATAGTTCAAGTTCCATAACCAGTGGCTTGAAATTTACTCTGGGCACATGCACATGTGTGCCCCAAATCCCAAGAGAAGAATAGAGAAGGGACTGCAGCACAGTCATTGCCCCTGGGGAGGGGGACTTCCTGCTTTCTGTCTGTCCAACAGCGCACGCACCCTATAGCAAAAAATCTCTCAAAAACAAACCAAAAAACCCCACAGTACATGAAGAAACTTGCATATGCAGTACGTATAATCGTGCTATTTGCTGATACTGTTCTTTATCCTATATTGTTCTCATTGTAATTGATATGCTGTAGTATGTTCAGCATTGAGAACCTAACATAAAGTGTTAAACTTTTTTTCTAGCCACCTCATTTATAGCTTTTAGGATAGTAGTTACTGTATTTATCAGAGACAAATATTTACCTAGTGAGTGAAGAGGATAACAAACACTGCTTTAAAAGCTCTATTAACAACAAATGGTGTTCTTTAAGACAATTTTATCTGTGCTCTTTATAGGTTAACACAAATTAACTATACAAGTTCACAGACGAACTTCACCGACTACAAAGAGAGCTACAAGAATTTTTCTTCAGTTATTGCCTTGCCATTTTTTTCACCTTAATATCTCCAATCACACCAAATTACAACATTTGCCCATCTCAAATTAACACTATTTCTTACACGTTAATGACTTCTTTAGAAAAACACAAGGAGATGAGTTCTACAGACTAAAATTTTAGCATTTAAATAATTTAACACACATATACTAAACTATACTCACAATTTAGGATTTAAGTGCTCTTTTGCCATCTGACCAATACATTAAATCACAAATGAATTGATCTCAGTCTGATGGTCAGAGGATGATTTAACTCCACAGTGCCCCCTACCTCTCAGATATATCAGTTTAAAAGGGGCACCATTTGAATTGTGAACCTGGAGAGAAATGTTAACCACTATCAACTCCACTTAAACCAGCCCTCAAATAGAGTATTAATTAAATTTGAACTATAAATAACAGCTGATTTAATTAAATCTTGCTAGTAATAACAGCAAGATCTGATGAGAAAAAAATATTGTAAACTGACAGGTTCGGAATTCAACCACACAACAACGTAATTCAAAAGTTCTGTGGAACCTCTCTGTAACACACAATTTGAATTTTAGACAGTCCTTAATCAAGGACTCAAAAACTCACAATTAAATGCCTTCCTTTTGTGTAACTTACAGGGAAACGGCATGGCGTTAGGCCATGGCTCTTCAGAGAAACAGAATCAATTTCTTCATTTTTAAAAATGCTGAGACCAGATTAAGCTATGCAAAACGTCAGTAATGTCACTATAGTCATATTATCATTATGTACTTCATCTAAATTGCCAACAGTGGTAAATTTGTGAAAACACTTGTGACCTTGGTCCTGAAGTTAAAAAGTTAGATTTGGGTTGCTTCAGATCAGCCGGGAAGGCAAAAAGTGATGATGAGAGAATGATACATACGCCTCTCTTTTTGGAAATAGACATCAGGCAAAACTTCTCAGTTTAAAAAGCTACGAAAAAAAAGAAACACTCAAGTTTTCAAAAGTACTTCGCCTTCCAAAAGTCATTCTGAAAAAGAGTCCTACTTTATTACACACTTACGCTCTACTGCATTCATACTAAGTGAAAAATGGAATAGGATGAAAACGGGGGGAAAGTGAAAAAGAATGGAACTCCACAGACAACTACAGTAAAGCACAGCCGAGTACGTGAAATGCCCTAGGTTCAAATCTAAAGAATGGTTTTGTACCTACCGTTTTTCCAAGGTATTTAATTTGCACGTCTTAAAATAGAGACCCCGAGGAGAGCAGCTTGAGGCAGTGGAAGGAAGGGGGGCGGGTTAGGTAAGAACAGAGACTAGTGAGAAAATATGTGCGGTGCATTAGAATGTGCAATGGAGGGGAGGTGCTGGATTCACGATCTGGGAGCAGTTGAGGGTTTTATGAGTAGAGAGGCAGAACAGATGTGGCTTAAGGAATGCGTATTCGCAGTCACAATGCACACCTGGGAAAGGGACGACCCTACCCAAGAAGGACGAACCCACCAACTGTAGGAATGCACAGATGACCATTTTAACCGGTTCTATTGTCTGGAGTATTAGGTGGAAATGCCTCAGGCAAGGATCAAGCTAGCCAGGCACCAAATCAGAGACCCTGTAGGGCAAAGAAGGGAGAGAAGACGGACAGCGGCGGTCCAGGCATTCCCGGCATCTGGGGCCCCTTCCTCGCTCCGCGCGGGAGGAACGCCGGGGTCACCGGGGCTGCGCGGTCCCCTGTCCGCGGAGCCCGAGCGCAGTCGGTCCCCTCCTCGGGCTGGCGACGTCTCTCACCGCGCCGCCCGGGAGCACCGAGACTTCCCCTCCCCCCCCCCCCCCAGCCGAAAGCAGGGAAGACGCGGAACTTGGGCTCCGGAGCGGAGGCCACAGACCAGGTCACAGCCGGGTGGGAGGCTCTGGGCTGAAATCCGTGTGGCCATCGGGCTGGCGTAGGGGAAGGCAAAACGCCGCTGGGTCGGGCTTCCAGGCTCTCGGCACTCGGGTCCAGGTGATCGGGCCCCGCTGCCGCGCTGCTCACCGGCCCCCTTTACCCCCGGGTCCTCACGGTCCCAGGCCCGCTAGATCCGCGCCTCTCAGGTCTCCCCGGTCCCCCCGGTCCCCCCACGGCAGCCGCCCCTTTCTGTAAACAGCACCTCTCCCAAATCCTAGCCTCGGCCGGTACCGCCGCGCCCCCGGG